CTGCCCTGGAAGGAAAGATAAGGGTGAGTTTGGAAAGTGGGTGGAATATTTCACCCCTTGGGCTGGTATTGAAGTCAGGCTGTTGTAATTAACACTTCTTATTATCCAAGATATTGGGGTTTTATGTGAGTGTTCTCAATCAGCTGTGAACACCATGCCTATTTCAGAGCATGCAGATAGAAAAGCCTCTGCCTTTCTGTAGAGATTAGAACTTAAGTTTTAAGGGGCCATTTATTCTTTTACTGGAGAGTGTTCCAATGTCAGTGTAGTTAAAAAAAAAAAAAAAAAAAAAAGAAAAGAAACCCTAATGAAATGAAAACAGCATCTTCTGGAAACAGCTGTTCTAAATCCTTGGTGCTCATCTTGTTTTTCCAACCTCTGTTCTCCTTTCTGCACTAGATACCTACCATTGTGGACTACAAAGAAGTATTGTCAAATGTAATCTCGCTGGAGAGAAGAACTCTTCACCTTTACAGCTTCATTTGTGAACTGTCCCTCTTAAACACAAGCCTTTGTGTGTATTCCCCAGCTCGGCTGGCTGCCGCAGCACTGCTGCTGGCTAAGATACTACACAGGCAAGGTAAGGAACCTCACCTTAAGTGGGGCTGTAGCATGGTCTGTCAGTCTGCCTTGCCTTTTTAGGGAGCCTTTGGGGGGGGGGTTTTTTGGAGTTACTTTGTCTTTAGGCAAGATGTCCCAATCACTTGGCTGGAGGAGAGATGCAGGGGAAGAGGGGAACAGGTATAAGACTGCAAAATGAAGAGTCTGGTCTATTTTATCTCTTAATAGCTATGATTAACAAGAGTATTAGCATCAGACTATGCAAGCTGTGTGTTTAAATGAGACTGAAGATTTCTATACTTAGGTATAACTTCAGTTTGGCAGGTAAACCTATACTTGAAGCTAATTGTGAACTTGGACTATATACAGGCACAAGCTTGTAAAGATGATGATCTTTATCCCATAAAAAAAAAAATCTGTCTGATTACAGAACTACCAAGCTTCATGAAATGGTAATATGTATTCTCTTCTCCAGCACACCCCTGGACCAGCCAGCTGTCTGAGTGCACCGGCTTCTCTCTTGAAGACCTGTTGCCCTGTGTGCTAAGCCTCTACCAAAAGTGGTAATAGTTTTGGAACTCTGCTGGGAGGGCACGTGGGTACTTGGATTCCTATACAGTCAGCCATTCCTCATGAAGGAGGTTGCTTTGGGAAACTGCCTTGCTCTCTCCACCACAAAGCACTAAGGCCTCAGGGCCAGTTCAGGGACAACTATTCTATTTTTCCCAACTGGTGGTGGCCCCAAGTTACAGAAAATGTTATGCTCCTCAAGGCTTAAGGGATTTCAGCTTGCCAAACAGCACTGTTTTCAGAAGACTACAACTGGCTTATTGGTGAGCTTCAGAAGGAGTTCCAATAGCAAAAGTAGCTCACTTTTTAAAAAGTACAAGGCAAATATCGTGTTTACTTCAAGGAACAGAAAAGGAATTAGATGCACCATGTGTCCTGGCTAACTTAGCAGCTCTGCTGAAACACCAACGTCCTTAGCACAGAGCTAGGATGGAAAGAAGGAAGGTACTTAAATTGGCAGATTCTGTTACCGTTGTTTCATATAATCCATTCTAAGATTGGGGCTTTCACCTTTCTTTACAGTTTCCATGATGATGTCCCAAAGGATTATAGGCAGGTGTCCTTAACTGCAGTCAAACAACGATTTGAAGATGAGCGTTACGAAGAAATAGGCAAAGAAAAGGTGGGTGAGTTCTTCGTCTTCATTTGCTGATATCTGACACCCAGAGCAAAGCTAGCATGTGGCAGGATGTAGTAAACTTCAAATAATGGGAAGTGGGCTCTAACTTTAGACTTTTAGAGGAGAGACTATCTAAATAAAGTGGTAGTTTTAAACTTGATATGTGGGGACTCTAACTGCTCTGAGTTCATGTGGGAAGAACTCACCGGGATAGATTTCTCCTAGAAAATAAAGCTAAGTAGCCTCCTCCTGGCTGTTTATTCCTTCTGGGAATTTCGTGGTCTAATTCTTACTGGCTCTTTATATTTTTTTTTTAGATGATGAGTTACAGCCAGCTCTGTTCATTGTTGGGTGTGAAACAGGAGGACCCAGAGCCCAGCCCCGTGCACACAAATGTGGTGGAAATTCACACTTTCCTTAGTTCTCCTGCTGGAAAGAGAACCAAAAGGCCAGTATAGCTCATCACTGTAAATGTCTCTGAAGATTAGCATGAGCCTTTCCTCCTCTCTGGTATCCTGAGATTTCATTCTTAAATATGATCAATTTTTCTGTAATTACCTTGACGTACCTATTAAAAGAGCTGGAGAAGACCTGACTTTTAATGTGGGACTCCTTTATTTTCTTGCTACAGGAGGAGGGAAGACAGCATTCAGGACGACAGAGGCAGCTTTGTGACTACACCCACAGCAGAGCTATCCACCCAGGAAGAAAGTCTTCTAGATAACTTCCTAGACTGGAGTTTAGATTCCTGCTCTGGTTACGAAGGTGATCAGGAAAGTGAAGGCGAAAGAGATGGAGATGGTGAGGGTTTTATTTTCCTTATAAAAAGCAGACAAGGGAATTACAACTGTCTTTTCATCTTTGCCTAAAACTGTTTCTCAGGCACCAGAAGCCTGAACTTTCAACTGAAGACCAGTTGGAAAAACTCTCCCCCTTCCCCAGTGGTTATAATTGTTAAAACTATTTTAGAGGTATATATCTGTTCTCTGTCTCTATACAGCTCCAGAACATGATGAAGGGCTTTGTAGCTGCTTAGCATTTTCAAAGTGAGACTGTTTTCAGATACTGCTGATGGTGGACCAAATGTGTTTAGTGCCTCCCTACGTTAGAAACACTGTATTATGTTTGTTTTGCTGACTGGGACTGGCTGTTCATTTTCCAAACAGCTCTTACTATCTCTCAAAACAGTCTGAGTGGGGAAAAGTTACTGTTTTAAACAAGGGTGAGCTTAGTGCTCTACCCTCCCCTCCATGTGTAAGTAGACGTAAGGTTTACACTCTTGTTTTTTTTTCTGCTTGATTCTGTTCTGAATGCCTGCTTGGTGTTGCCCAAATCAAAACTAAGTTTTTTATCATTCCCCAGTGACAGGTCCCAGTGGGATCTTGGATGTGACAGTGGTCTATATGGATCCTGCAGAGCACTGCTGTCAGGACTCCAGTGATGAAGACAACCTAGCTGTGGAGTGGGCTGGGCACGCGGCACCACTGCGGGAGGCTCAGCTGCCCGATGACACTCGCAGCCTTCCAGCATATCTCACTCCAAGAAATCCTAACCTGGAAGGGAGCTCGGGCTATTCTTCCGTCAACAGTGCCAGTCCTACGTCTTCCGTAGAAGGCAGCCTTGGAGTACCTCTCAAACCTACCTCAGCACTGTCTCTTGGCAGTGCCATGAACAAGGAGCCATGCCTGCCTCGTTACCTGGAGTCATGTTTACAGTCAGTCGGTGCTAGGCCTAGAGATGGCAAGTGTGACAGAAGGCAAGTCAAGCGAAAAAATGTGGCAGAACACAGTGAAGAAAGGGTGAACTTGGGCTTCTTCAGCCTCTGATTCCTTCATGCTCTTTCCTTTTCTAGAATTTCTGGAAACAGTATTTCTGGTGTAGTCACACAGGGATATTAGTGAATAATTGCCAATACCTCCAAAAAGAGCCCTTCCCCTCAACTTTGCCTACGCCTATCTTGTAATTCTGTAGCTCACTTCTGAGCCATTTCTTTCCCTGATAGCTGCCAATTCTCTGCAAATTAAGATTCCTCTCCACATATGAAATTTTATAGCTCATTTTTGTTGTACCTCACCAGTTTACTCCTTGGTGATAAAAAGGAACTTGTCATGTCCCTTGCTTTGCTGTGAGGCCTGGCAGCATAAAAGAAAGGAATTAACTTTGGTTCTCAAGTTACTGGATGTAACACTATGCTTGAATTCTGCCACTTGAAAAACCTTTTTGAGGTTGTGCTGCCTTTCCCTTCTGGCCAGGTACTGTCTCACTCAGCTGGTGCTTCCCCCTTCTATGTAGATACCATTTGCTGCACTGATACAAGGTTTTTATGGATACAATCAGGAGGTAAATGAAGGCTCAGTTCAGGTCTGAGCTTTTTTACCTACCTCTCAGATGGTTTTAAATCCCATTTGCCTCTGGCTCTAGTTGCCATATTTCCCTTGCCTGAAAAATCCTCCTTCTGTGCCTTAATGCTTTGCTGCCCAGTACTACAGTAACGTGATCTCTGTGAACTGTTAGTCTCTGCTGGACAGCGTGGTTGAACTGCCACCTCCAGCCAGTGGCTGAATTTCATTTCTTGTCTTGCACAGTCTTCCTTGCTCTTTCCATTAACGTGTCCTCAAGAAAAGCACAAATCACTTGAACACTAGAAACAGGCAGCAATGCACCAAGGGCGGCATATGCTTTTCTTAACAAAAATGAAATGTGCTGCTTCAGTAACTGTTTGAAGAAACCACCTACCCTCACCTCAGCCTAGCAAGCCTAGGTTAAAGCTCCTTCAGCCTGTGAACATTAGGAAAACAGCCTTTACAAACAGGTAGTGAGCATTGAAATATCAAGGCACAAGACTTCCAGGAGACGTTGCTGAATTTAACACTGGAACTGGACTCCATGACTCTTCCTTTGAAGTTACTGTGGCAGATGGCAACAGTTCAGATACACACAGTGTAGTGATGTTTTTATAAAACTTTTTTTACTATAGATGGCTCCCTGTCTTACTTCAGTGACTGGTATCCCACTGACATGGGTCTTGGAAAACAGGGGATGTTTGGGGAGGAAGTCAGAGTTTAGCTCTGAGACAAGTTCTTTTGATTAAGTTGCAGGTGGGACCACCTCCTGGCTACTTACATTAACAGCATGAGCTGCTGGGAGAACAACCTGCACAAGTAGCATCAGGCTCAAATCACCCTCAGCCCTACAGTAGCCCCACAAAGGCCTTGAACATGGCAAATAACCACTAGAGGGCAGCCTTGGGTGCTTGTCCACAAAGTTTATTACAAAACTATGTTACACCACTGTAGTTAAAAAAAAAAAAAATAAATCTCTGATATAGTTTTTGTGTGCTAGGCTTTACCCTTCTGGTGGCTACACTGCAGTTCTCCAGCTACTGCTTACAATGACAGGCCATGCAGGAGCATCTTTACATTAACTTGTTACAGCAGCAGCTCAAAATTCATTGCATCACATTAAAATCAGAAGAAAACACTGATAAAAACCTCTTTCAGTTCTAAAACAGGTAGGTGAAAGTTAAATATCTCTGGGAAAGGCCTCACATTGCAAGAAAGATTTGAACTCCTTTCCTGTAACATTTTCTTGATCTGAAAGAAAAGGCACAAACCAGAAACATTAGTCAGTTCAGTTCCTTCCCAGGAAGAGTAAATTAGGTGATGAGGAGCTAGCTTCATGTTCCTGGGGCTTGGTGCTCAATCCAGCAACCTGGGCTGATGCAGCCCTGGACTAAAACCAGTTCTGTCTCTATCAAGCCTCAATTTTTGAGGCGCCTCATGGATAAAACAGCACCTGGGCCTGGAGAGCCACCGCTTACTGCCACAGGCCTGAAGCAATAAACCCAGACCTACAAGCTGCTTTCTGCAACGGAAATGCAAAAGATACAGCCAGGAGCCTCAGCTGTTTTGTTTTTTTAAATGAAAAAAGGACCAGAGAGCATGAGTCTGCATTTTGTTAACAGCTCCACACCCCTGCAGACCATTCTCCCTTTGTTTTATTAACCCTTACTGTATTCTTCCAAGGGCAGGTATTTCTAGAAAAAAAAGAGAGGAAACACATGCTCTTAACACGGGCTAAGCCTGGCTTTGTGTAGCACTGGGCTGGTCTCAGTAGGGAATGCTGAAGGGCCCTCTGCATGACAGAACTGGGTCTCAGCTGGAGAGACTTCCCAGCCCAGCCTGCTCTGTCCTCACCTCCTGCCTGCAGCACCCCAGGGCTGACGGAGCCAGTGAGCAGCACTGTGCTGCTCCTGTGCTCACAAACTACTGCCACTTACTCAGGGCACCATTTTGATATCCACAGAGTCATAAGCTGAAGCTTTCATCTTTTCCAGTGCCTTCTTGAAGAGCTGTCGCAGGGCCTCATAGTCAGGCTTCTCCTCATACTGCAGTGCCATTACTTGCTGCAGGTAGCTCTGCAGGGCATCTGCAAAGCAAGGAACATCACTGCATGGAGCAGCACAGCAACTCCAGTTGTCTTTACAAAACTGTCAAATGGCTGTCTCAGACTGCTCTCCCTGCAGACAGTTCACCCATGCACCTTGGCCAGCTGCAGAGAAGGAAAACAAAACCAATGAATGATATGAAGCTCAAATACGGGATGGGGAAATGACCACTAGCCCCAAATATTCCATTTTTAAAGCCAGCAGAACACTTGCCTCTTCAGCAAGGCTCATGAATACAGATAACAGGCAGCAGCCCTCCTTGTTTTGCTGTAAAGAGAACAAGGGATGTGTTCACAGCAGGAGCCTGTCAACCAGTCGGTGCAATGCTTGGTCACCATGGCCAGTGGAAGCCACCCTGGGCTAGCAGCCCAGCATAGAGAAGGTTCTAGCTTCAAGTACAGTCAATCCTCCTTCCCTAAGTCCCACTGTCACAGAGAGCAAGCCCATACCTGGAATGGATCTCTGCCTGAAGCACAGTCGGAGAAGGCATTTCACATCCCCTCTGTACCTGGAACAATCAGTGCAGAGCACTGTCAGCTGAGAAGCAATAGAACAGGCACCTGAACATCCTGTCTTTGGCAACACGGACAAAAAAATAAAAAGGGCTGAATTCAGACAGTCATGTTCTGAATGGAGCAGAAATCAGGGTTCATCGAACACCTCTGGCCAAGCTCAGCCTTTAGGACAGGGTTTACCCACATCCCAACAGTGTACTATGACTGAGTGCTGCCTCTTCAGTCACAAAACCTCCCTCACTGCTTTCTGCTGAGCATTTCCCAAGAGTAGATGATTTCTCCTACTTTTCCTTCTTTTCCACCACCGTTTCTACTTTGTCCAGATCATCAGACCAAGGTAAGAAGCCACAGAGCCATTTCAGAAGACAGTAGCCCAGAGATTCCAAGTCACTCCGGCGAGATGGTCCTGATGGGAAGAAATATTCACATGTGAAAAACAGAGTTTGGGAGCCATCCCAGAAGAGGCCCAGGCTAGCGCCTCTCCTCCAAAGACGAGTAAGGACTCCAGCACTCGCTGCACAACCTTGGAAGTCTCTGAGGTGCCCCTTCTGCAAAACAGGCAGCCTCGTGAAGGGGCACAAGTGTAAAGAGCAGAAGTAAAGCAATGCAAAAACTTCATTAAGATCTACTCTGGGATATCAGTACTTCTGGGAGTCTGCTAACTCACACAGCTGAAGAATCGCCTCCCAGCCTCTGGAGGAAGATTTGGCCAGTCTGAACACTGAGAGAGAACAGTCACATCCCAACCAGGAAAGGAACTGGCTAATTTAAATGCCTTTCCAGCTCTTCCTGCTTCAAGGTCAGAGCAGAGCCTGCTGCAAATCTGTTCTGGGCTGGGATCCAGTCTGGCTTGAAACAGATCCCTGCTAAGCCAGCATGAAGCAGCTCTGTTTCCTACTCCTCGCACGCCTGCAGCAGCCAAGGCTCCAGATGGGAGGAGGAACATCCCTGCACCTCTTGCTGCAGTCACCGAGTGACCTGGTGTTGTGGTTTGAGACTCACCCGCTCCTTTATGGCTGTCCAGACTGATAAACTCCATCGTGCCTTCATGAGGGGTCCTGCTGCCTTCGCGCTGAGCCACATGCTTCCCTCCTGGGCAGTAACGGAACGCATAGCAATAGCCTGCTAGGGTCACCTAGACATCAAGTACACAGCTGAGCGTATGTGTGGTGTGAATTCTGCCCACGACCCTCCCCCCACGGCACCTGTTTGGAGCACTGCGTGGTCTGCGCTGCTCCCCACCCAGCAGCAGGAACCTGGGTGTTGCTCCAGCCCATTTCACAAGCCCACCTTGGCTGCCATTTCCCCGCAGCGCTGCTCCCTACCTGTGTGAGATCTGTTGGGTTCAAATAGATGTTCTCAGCTGTGATGTCCCCGTGCACATACTCGTTTTCATGAATGTACTCCAGGCAGTCTAGCTAAGAGTAAACAGAAGAGGCAAGCATGTCAGAACCACACGGACTCCTCCAGCTGAGCTGACCCCCCCCCAGCTCCCCACAGCTGTGTGAAGGAGCACAAAAAGCACCACACCTCATAGCCTCTAATTTTCAAGTGGGAGATTTCTCTCATTCTCCTTAACCCAAATTCCCTCAAGGTGACATATTGCTCAAAAGATGCCACTCAAGTTTACAATAGGCTCAAGAGATGCTAGTTAGAGACCCCAGCCAACCCCCTGGATCAGCTCTGAAACACCTCTGGAAGAACGTTGTAGGTCTTTTCTGAAGAAGTGTCTTAGAAAGCATTGGTTCTCTACATACCAGCCGGACTACAATCTGAAAAGCTGCCTTCTCCCTCAGTAGTTGTAAGCCATCGTTCAAGACGGACTGAAGAGTTCGCCCTAAGTCAGAGAACACCAAAAACCTACAAGAGACAAGGGCTTAGCATGTAGCAGTACCTACCTGATTTGGAAACTCTGCAACAGACACTCATCAAGCGATCCACCGGGACTAGACCCTCCCCCCTTCAACTCCAGGTTGACCTGGGCAAACATCTTCTCAACTTTTCCTAACAGAAAACTTCTTGAAAAGGACAGACGTGCTGATCATGTGTTGCAGATATACAGCCTGAGCCTCCATTTTGTGTTAAGCTTAGAAGGCAGGAATTAGGTGTCCCCTAGACTGAGACACAGAAGCAGCAAAAGCAATGACTTCACCAGCAACACAAGGACTGAAGGAAACAGGATAATGAGGGGCAAATCATTTGTTAATAAATGAGATGGAAGTGCATAAAGTTAGGAGCCTAGGGGAAAACGAGAAAAGGAATAGTAAACAGCAAGGAGAGGAGAGGGGAAGTCCAAGATACAGCAGTTGCAGACAAAAGAGCTCAGCTGTGCCCTTTGCAGAGGCACCTCACCTGTAGCTATCGGCGTGCAGTCCAAAGCCGACACAATTGGGGATTCCCAGGAACGGCACAGAGTGCCACTTCTTCCACTTCTGCACTAGAAGGGGAGAGAAGAGGACAGAGTGTGGCAGACGCTGCCGAGGAGCTCCGGAACGAAGGAGCTCGGTCGGGGATGCCCTGTCTCTGAGGGCCTGCTCTGCCCGGGGCAGCTCACAGCTGGAAGCCTCCTACTCACTCTGCCCCAGAACGCCAGCTTAACGTGCTGGGGCACTGGCATACCAATGCATGTAGCACTGCCGAGCAAGAGTAAACAGTAAGGATGCTGGGAATACTGGAGCAGGCTAAGGCATGTTTGCTATACGTTGGCAAAGGGCTAGGTAAAACAAGAAGCGTGGGGAGACAGAGGGATAGACAAGGAGATTTTTACAGTCCTCCCAGAAGTGCGGGTTTGACGTGAATTCCCCCATCACCCCTGTCCATGTTCTCTGGTCAGCTTTGCTCTTGCTCAGGTTTTTGGGTCAGTGGAGTAAATACCAGACAGCAGCTGACAGAAACGCCCGTGGAGGGGGCGCAGAAGACAGAGGGAGCTAAGGCAGGTCAGGCTGCAAGGCTGAACAGCTACCAGTGAGATCAAGACAAAGCACGGGTAGAACAAGAAAGCTTTAAAATCCCTGTGGTGTCCTAAGATAGTACAGAGGCTCTTGACCAAACTTCTCAGCACTGTGGCACTAACCAAGCAGTGAATTTGTTTATTCTAGCCTGGCCTTCTGAGAGACTCACATAACTGATGAGAGAGGGATCCAGTTTTCCTAACAAGCACTAGTCCTTGCCCTTCCCAGAAGCACCAACCTGAGCCTGCCTTTGCAGCTCGCTGGAAGAAATTCTGTTCGTTGTAGATCTTGCCATCTTTGACATCCTAAAAGAAACAGGAAGGAGGAACATTACTTCAGTCACGCCCTGGTAGAAAAGGAAACTTGGCCAAGATTGCTACAAGACCTTCACTACTCATTTTAAATAAAGCAACAACCCTCCTCAGCTTCCCCCACCCCAAAAAAAAAAAAAAAAGAAATCAAATACCAAGTCAGGAACAGAGCTGAGAGCAGAGCTCTGCTCTTTTGGTTCACTATTAATGCTGTGCCTAACCACCACAGAAACTCTGAGCATCACCACGGAACGAAGGAACTGCTGTCTCAAGCTGGACATTTCAAGAACTACCACTGACAGCTATCTATGGTTTAAAAACAGCTGGACAATGCAGAGCATCTGGCAGACTGAAGCAAGCTCTGGCCCCAAAGCCAAAGAGCTGCAGCATTTTATTCTAGCAGCCAGAAAGCGACAAAAGAAAGTCTACATTTGTGACATTTAAGTGTCTGGGTAGCGTGCTAACATCTTCCAATCCACCTTTTTAAATCAGCAAGCATTACTGTGCTTTTACTGCTGCTGTTATCAAGTGACCTGAAATGCATATAGTTTACAGTCAATATGTGTTTGCCTACGTACATGTCTATAATTCAGCATACTGCAACCTAAGTTAGGACAGATGCTAGTATGCAAGGGAGGAAGCAGAAGTTTTATATCCTAGTTGGTTTGATACCAAAGGCCTTGCCCACAACTGGCCAAGGTAGTTAGAGGATCAGCAGGTTCCAGATAAGACAAACGAGGATCTTTTATTCTGCACCTTGCCTGGTAAGCCAATCTGAGTCATCCAACCCAGGAGCCAAAACGCTCTCGTGTGCCATATCATGCCCCCCAGCCCTCTGCAACGGCTGGGCTGTGCTGTCAGATGATCACCAAGCAAAGCACCAGAAGGTGCCAAAGGTGCAAAACGGAGGAGTTGGGAGCGATTAGAGTTTCCCACCTACTGGTTCTAGTTTTGTGGCATGTAGCTGTCTTTTCTCATTAACACGGTATTCTTTCTCCATCCTCTTAAATGTCTCTTCTGACAAAAAGGGAGAGATTTTTCAAGTGCCCACAAAAGTGGGCACTACCAGGTCCCACAGAGCCATTAGTCAGCACTGGTTTTCCCACAGACAAGCAACCCCCAAGAGCCAAGGCAAACAGGAAAACAGTCTCTCTGCTCTGGCTTGTGGGTTACTGAAAATCAATCGACTGAATTTCCATGGCAGAACAGCTATAACTGGAAATAGCACATTTCTGGAAAACCCAAGTTATTGGCAAGTGCCTAGAAAGCTGGCTCAGAACTCCAACGATAATTAGTTGGATTTTAAAACGTGCTCTGGCCTTACAGAGTCTCTCTGCTGGTTCATCACGCTATCTCAGCACAGCTACCAAGTTCTAACCTCTCCAGTTTCCCCAGACTTCAGCAGGGTATGCACATACTTGCCATATAGGGGGAAAAAACAAAACAAAACAAACAGGTCTTCTGACACTAATGAATCAGTATCTCTACCTTATACCACCAAATTCAGTTTGGGAGATTACTGAGCTTGGTGGATCGAAGAGCCAGCCTTCTGAGATGAAGGCTTTTCCTTTTTTTAATCCTCACACCTATTTTCTTCACACTTTTAGTGGAAGAGCCAACTTCTGAGATCCAAGCAGGACTCTCTCAGGAAGTTATATCCATCTCCTAAGCTGGAAGAGGCCCCTGGGACCACTTTCTCTGAATTCCTTGGACACTTTTAGCCATACAGGACAAATGGGCCAGGCCCTGGACACAGTACACTACGCACTATTCCTTACACAAACAGATCAAAACTCACAAGTTTGAGGGAGTATCTTTGCTTTTGAGGGCAGGTTCCCGATACCGACTGTGCTGTGGAAGGATGGAACAGATGTGGTTACAGGAGCACAGAAAAGAAGTACTTGCAGCATCAGCTGCATCATTAAACACAACCTGTGCAGCTGACCTTTACTCAACCTCTCCTTCTTTCACTTGGTCTTTGCAAAAGCATCCTCTGTGCCAGCATCTTCCCAGATTACTACAAAATAATTCTTACCTTGCTCCAGAAGCACAAGCACCCCTGACATGCTTTGAGTGCAGTTCTGCTTAAGTCACAGAAGCATCTAGGCACGGCTACAGTAGTGGGGTGCTTTGAAGGTGGTATGTAAAGAACAAATCATTAGTAGAATCTCAAAGGCACCCCCAAAATTCATCTGCTGAGCACTCCCTCCAGCTCACTTCATAGTTTGTCAATTCTGTAAGAGATGGCAAAGTCCCTTCTGCTCTGCATGGATGTTAGAGTTGTACGTGGCCTTCCCTCTCCAAAAAGACTGGCATCCATTACTCGCCCCTGGGGTAGTTGTTCTTCTCCTGCTCTTAGGCTGACTGCTATACACAGGTTATCTGCTACTTGTCACCCACCCAAAAGGTGTTTCTAGAAAAGCACCCTCTACTGTAACAATAACAACATTGATTTTTCTTTTTCTAACACCACATCTTTTTAAAGACATAGGCAAATCCTCTGGCCTTTTTATGCAACAGCATAAGTAACTAAAATAAAACTAAAACCAAGTAACACACAAAGCTTCCTAACGGAGAAAATTCTTCCTAAAGTGTTTCCAAGTTAACAACAGAGAATAAGATCAAAATGTTTTCTTTGGCAGTTTACATCTAGACTGAAGAGAAAAGAACATCAGTCACTAAACAGCTGAGAAGCAGCCCAGATGACTTAGCTGTTTTCTTTTGGCCGCAAAACCAGGTTGAGAATCCCAAATTGACATTTAGTCAATACTGTCACCACCTACAACATCGGAACTCCAGTATGGTGCTGGCAGCATCTACGTTTTGAACATAAAAAAAAAAAAACAAAACAAAAAAGAGGAAGCGTGGCCCCCCATGGTTTGCATTTTGTCACGTAACAGAGCAGCCCAGCCTCGGCTCGATCTTGTGCCAGGGCTAACACCCACGACGGCCGGGCTGCCACAGGGCAGGTGCCCAGCGTGGGAATCGCTGCCGTCCCGGAGGACGCCCACGGACTGTCACCGCCCCCACTCCACGCCGCCTGCTCGTGGCGGATGCCGCCCGTTTAAGGGACATCCGACGGCTGCCGCCAAATCCCCGCCAGCGGCTGCGGGCCCGCACCAGGCGCCCAGCCCCACGGCCGGGCACACGCGGTGCCCACGGCGGGGCCCGCTCCTCCCCGCACCCCCCCCCACCCGCGAAGGCCGGGCCGCCCCTCCCGCCGCAGCCCCCACAGCACCTTCGTACATCAGCCCGCAGCCGCCCTGCTCCAGCAGCCGGAGCAGCCTCCACTGCCCGCTGCCGCGGTCGGTGAGGACCGCCTCGGCCGGGAGCGGCACCGCCGGGCCGGGCCGCGCCTTGCGGGGCGAGCGGGAGCTGGGCCTCGCCGGGGCCGCGGGGCTCCGGGCCTGCTGCTGCTGCGGCGGCGGCGGGGCCGGGGCCGGCGCCGTCTGTCCCGTCCCCTCCTCCTGCGGCGGCGGGGGCAGCCTCTCGCCGCAGGCCGGGCAGAAGCGGAAGGCGGGCTCCACGCCGCGCCCGCACTGCGGGCAGAACCGGCTCACCCTGCGGGCACACCGGGGATCAGCCGTCAGCGCCCCTCCGCCCGCCCCGCTCCCCGCCCGGCCCACCGCCGCCGCCGCCACCACCTCGGGGAGGCACATTCCGGTTCCGGCTCCGGTTCCGCCGCCTGCCGCCGCCCCCGGCCCCGCCGCCCACCGCCCGGCATCGCCCCGACCCACTCCGTCCCGCCCCGCGCATGCGCCGCCGCTGCGCCCGCGCATGCGCAGAACGCCCCCCCCGTCCCCCGTCCCACCCCCTCTCACACAGACAGTCGCGGCGGCCCCGGGGATCGCGGGGTGCCTCGGACACGGGTGGCCGTGGGCCGGCGGAGCCGCGAGAGGCCTGGGCAGGAGCCTCCCGCGTGGAGTGCGGGCCGCTGGGGGGGGGGGGGGGGGGGGTGTCACCTCAGGCAGGGGCAGGCGGTTACCCCAGTGCTTCCCTCAGGGCTCCAGCTCTTCGTCTGTTGCTTAAGAAATTACCTCAGCGGGCTGCTCAAAAGCGACCTTAGGACTACAGAACAGGTTCTCAGAAGTTAATGAGTGCTAGAATTAATCGGTCACATCGGGCTGGGAGCAGTAGCTCTATATTCAGTGTATACACCACCCTTTATGTACACTGCACGCCTATAAACCTCAAGCGTGCGCCATAAAAGAAGCGTAGGTGAGCTTGGGCCTCTCCCTTCTGGAGGGCTGAGGGCCAGGTTTGCTTGGGGAAGGTGCCTGGAGGCCCCACGGCTCCAGGGCAGAGTGGGGCAGGTGAGGTGTGCGCATCGGGGTCGTGCGGTTCCTCTTCCCGGAGAACGTCTCACGTGTAAGGATGTTGCTTTTCAAAGCCTGTTCCAGTGAGCCATCCGAACACCACGGCCGTGGGGTGCGAGCAGGAGCAAAGGGGAACTGGGAGGCGACGGCTCATGCAATGGAAGAGCCAAGTGGCAAGAGCTGGTATCACAAAAGCCAAGTGGGGAACAAGGAATGAGCTTGGCGTACAGCCGATGGGGAGAGCGGCGGTGGGAGGTAGACTAAAATAACACACAGGGGATCAACCCCATGCCTGAGCCCACCACAGAGCTCTGGGGCTTGGGGGAAGCGTCTCCAGACAACGTATTCTGCACAGACCTCGTCCTGCTGCGGGCTGGTCGCCCCTTCCCAACCCTTCCAAGCACCAGAACCTGTTCCTAACATTCACGAAGCACACGGAGGAGTCCCAGCAAAGCCAAAACTCTGCTGAACGACACTGGGAGGCTTGACACATGTTCAGGTCTGGTTTTGCAGCCTGTTGCTGGGATTTTTCTTTGAAGCATGTGGACGCTGTCAGGAGTGACAGGGCGGGTTGGCCGGGTTCTCACATTCCTCCCTACCACATTCATCAGGACACTGTGCTCTACAATCACTTCTTCATTTTCCCCTGGCATGGTAGGCAGCAGCAGGGGTGCACTGAATTGGCTTACCTTCATCATCACCCCCCCACTGTACAACCACCTTTACAGGTGCAGATGGCAATTCCTTTGTTAACCAAAGCATCCCCTCAGAATTTTGACAGAAAAGACGTGGTCCTTCATCAGTCTGGTTTGAATTTACCTTTACAGGCTGATGTGTGGTATTTTGTCTTCTGCTACATCTTGAATCAAGATCAACGATCATTGTACTAAAGCCCTCCACGGTGTCTGATGGCACTGCTGTGAATGCCTTATTTCAGCAATGATTTATTAAGCCATGCAGTTACCGTTTTGGGAGGGGGGGTAACTTTGTAAAACTGTTAATTCATGATCATAGCTCTGTAATTTTGTCAGTGGTTGCCTAGGGAACAATGATCACGACCTGATTACATTCAATTTGGGCAGAGACTAATCCATTCAGTAAACCAAAATAAACGGTGCTTTAAAAAGTCAAACCCCATAAAGACAAGAAAAACTCTGAGAAAAAAACGGTAGTGGGAAAAGGCAGACAGGAAATTGTGGAAAACAATTCTTTAAAATTTAGTCCCAAGATCCACCAACCTAGCACCACAGAGGCAAACCCCACCCCCCACCCTGCTTCAGTGGCGTATTGAATGTAACAATTAGCAATGAAAGCCATAATGAATGGATGAAAGGGGAAATAGATAGCAATCTTCTCCACTTCATAAGCAGTAATTTGCACCAGCAGTGCGGCGGGGCGAGCTGGGTGCCTGCAGTTACACTGTAGAGGATTGTGTTCGTGGACATTGCACCTTCCGCCTGGTCTCAGCTCAGCAGGAATTTTCTCCCTCTTTCCTGCCTCAGACATTGAAAATCAGCCTGGATTTGGGGCTGCAGAGCGGGACCGGCTCCTGGAGAGGCTCTGGAGAGCAGGACAGAGCAGATTCTGAGGTCGAGCTTTGCTGCTTTGAAATTTGAGGCTCTCAAGCCTCACGAGTGAGTGCGGGAGGCCCCAGTCTGGAGCTGCTCAGGCGCTGCTGGTGTCCCGAAGGGCTACCAGAGCACACAGGAGAGGGGTGAGGAATTGGGGAGTGCCTGGGGCAGGTAACGGGCTCTGGACACTGGGGAAGTGCCACTGGGCTGGGCTGCCCAGCGCAGCCGCAGCGGGGCAAGGATGGAGTGGGGACACCTGGGACAGTTCAAAGGCTGCGTCAGAACAAGCACCAGGGATCTTGTCCTCGTCACCCAGGAGTGGCCTGGGAGCATCTTGGACTTGCTGCAGCCCCAGCAAACCAACCCTCTGTGCACTCTCCTGTTCCCTTTGGAATCCATTTGCATGCTTGATCTCCGCAGCAGAGGCAGCTTCCCACAGCACGGCAATCCAAGGTTTGAAAAGTGCTTCCTCTTGTTTTAAACCAGATCCAGCCCCGTGGCGTTCTGCAAAGCTCTGCTCAAGGAAATTAAAATACTCTTTCCCTTTTTTCCCCCTCTTAGTGACCCCTTACCAGGTCCCTTTCCCGCAGACCTGCCAGGCTGTGTCCTGCACTGAGTCTCTTCCCCCGTGGGAGCTGCTCCATCTCCCTGCTCGGCTGCTTCTCCACCTCACTGCCCTGTCCTCTGCGAGCTGCCCTAGCCATGCTTGCACATCCCAGCAATCCCAGCACTTCTTTCCTAATGCCCTTTTCCCTTGGTTACTGACGCAGAGCGTGCAGGTAAAGCACCCACAAGGACTCCAGCGCCTCTTTCCTGAATGACAAAGCTCATTTAGAGCCCATCGCCACGTACGCACAGGGTTACTTTTACATTGCCTTTAATTTAATTATATTTCATTGCATTTCATGTCTGTCTGCTCAGCCACTTGACATCGTGCGATCCCTTTCCAGCTCTTCACAGTCAGCTTTAGATTTGGCCACCGAAATACTGTATAGCATCAGCAAGATCTGCTCTCTATTATGCATGTACTGACTAGCACAGGTCTGGGACAGGTCCCATCCGTTTATTCCTACCCTTGTCGCCTGACTTTTAAGCAGCTAGTTTACAAGCGAAGCCTCGCTGTTAATCCACCTGAACATCCTGAAGAGCTTTTGTAGAGAGATTTTTGTTAAAGTTCTGCAAATATTGTTATTTATATATCATCTGATTCACCATTATTTACATCTTCCATGTAATTCTAGCAAGACTTCCCTCCTCAGATCCATGCTGGACATTGCCTCAGCATAGCATGTTTATCCACACACATTCTCATGCCATTTTTAATTCCACCTTTCAGCAAATTTGCCCGGTACCAAAGCCAGTTAAGATCCCAGAGTTTCCTAGATCCCTGTTTCCTAGAGTCATCCCTAAAAATTAGTCTGGCATTTGCCATCTCCCTCTCAGGTGCTGGGGAGGTCGGGGCCCTGCTGCCTCCGTCCGCTGCGGGTGCGGGCTCTGCCCCAAGCATGCAACCAGCCCAGTCCCCCGCCAGCCACAGCGGGTTTCCAGCAGGCTTCCTGCTTCTGATGGGCGTGCAAAAATATATGGGTGCAAATTTTTATGTGGTGAGCATCTTACGCTCAAAATATACTTTCATCTGTGTGAATGTGGTTTTTAACTTGCTGGTGTTTTTGCTTCTTGCTGTTTTCTTGCTTTGAAAAATAAAATGCCAGGTTTTGAAGAATTTGTATGTTCTTTTTCTTAATTTTAATTTTACTATTTATTTGTATTCTGGCTACCTTGCTTTGCTGTTAAACCATTCTCCTGCAGTTCCCCACGGCGCTGCATTAGAACCTCTTTAGCTAGGAGCCATACACCCACACCAGCCAGACAGTATTGCCTTTTGTTTGCAAGTATTTTCCTCTCCATTTGATTTTCACTTCTTCCTACCAGTTTCTTTATTTTATGTAGTTCCTTCTGGCAAGGACAGGTAAGCCTTCAGAGGTTTTTCAGCCTTGGCTACACCCGTTTTACAGCACGGCAGCTCCTGACAGGGATGCTGAGTTTGCCTAGGCGGTGGTCACTGGCAGGCTGGTGCTCCTTCAGGCTGTGAGCAAGGGTCTGCTTCTTGCTGAGAACTAAATCAAGAGTTGCTCAAGCACAAGCCTGGCCATACCAGGTCCCATTAAGGCTCTGTCTAGCCCAGGATCCTGCCATCAGTGGTGGCCAGTTCCCAGGAAACAGTGTCGAGGCTGGGGGAGAACACACAGTGAAACTTCCCAGTGTATTTTCCCAATTAATGGCCCTGGGGTTTCACCAATGCCTCATCCTTATCTAAAACAGGCTGCTCTCCTCTCCCCGCCAGGACCACAGCCATCACGCAGCATTTGATCTGGTCCTAGCAGCCTGCTTTTTAAATGTCCCTTTTTTCTGGCTTTCTCATTCCTTCATCAAAGGGACAGAGTTATGAATTTACCTCTGAATGGTTCCCCGCCCCACTGCCCACTCATCTCACCCACCGACCTCAATTTAAAACCCCTCCTACGATGGTTTTCATTTTAAGTGTTAGCATGCTGGCACTGTTTTCCTTTAGCCAGAGCTCATTTTTCCTGGAGATGCTCCCTCTATCCTGAAAGTTTCTCTATTTTTTTTTCTAAGATAAAATCCAACCCACATAGGGAGCAACCTGCCTGCCCTCTCTTGAGTCAGCAGCACTGCCTGCCCTGGATCCAGCTTCCTCTAAAGCAGAGTTTTAGGTGAATTTTTAACACTGCCTTGGGCTCGGAAGAGGGAAATGTCTAATCTTTTAGGACAAGACCTGTCTCCCTCTGGCCTTTGTGTGCTGAGGATGGTCCACACTGCTGTGCCCACCGGGAGTGT